TTTTTTTTTTGATTTGGTCATGGATATACCGGTGTTTTTAGGATACGTGTAAATCTGTAATCCTAGTAGCGCTAGTTTTTAGTGAAAATGTTGATATTTCTGGTCATTACGAATTAGATTTTGCAGCTTTTTTTTCGGTGATAGTTTTCGCTCTGTAGTTCACTTCACAAGCAAAGAACTCTTTATTTTTGTTTTTTATTGTTTCTTCTCAAAAAAATATTATTTTTATTGTTAACTGTGTTCAAGTTGTATATATCATTGTTGGAAAGTTTGTTTTTTTGTGTCTCGCGGTTTTTGTTATTATTGTAGTAATTAATTAGGTCGTATGAGGTAACAGAGTGACTATTTCTGGGCTTTATTTGGAAGGGTAATAATCACTGGAAAAGTAAACTTTTTGAAAGGAATAGTCAAGGTTTTAAAATTTAGTCGTTTTTAGGCTGTAGATATTTTATAAAGTAATAGTAAGTTTTTATAGTAATTTTGTTTTCAATCACTTGTAACTGTAATCAGTCAGGTTGTGTTAATTTCTTGTTGGATATTCATCCTTGGTTGACTCAGTTTTGTGTCATTGCAATCTTCACTAATTTTGTGTGTACTGTTTGTAAACTAAAGTTGGATATGGTAAATTGTTTCTGTTTTTGAAAAAGTGAATAAAATTATTCATTGTGATTGTTGTTTTTTTTTAGGAATTATTAGTTTTAAATGGATTAACTTAATCTTAGGGTTATGGAGTAGTATTAGAAGTAGTAGTATGAAAATTTAGTATTTGTTGAGAACGACAACACAAATTACGAATGCTATACAATTCCAAAAAGAGATTCTTCTTTGCTGGGATTTTTTAGTTTGTTTCGTCATCCGCTATTATTTGGAAGATATTTTTCGAACTTCTGGGATCATTTGAAGCAGTGTGGATAGGAGTTATTTTCACTTTGCAAATATCAAATTTTTGGTGGATGGTTGTTACAGCAGTTTTTTCACTTCTGCAACTTATAGTTCAACCGTTTAGTAGTAACAAAATTTTCTGGTTGGTAGCAGCTTAGAGTAACCAAAAACAGGACGAAATAGCATCTTTTTCTCAAGTAAAGAAATGCTCGCCTGAGTCATTTTTTCATCTGCTGGTTCTTAACTAGTTTTGAGCGCGTTACATCCAATTTTGGTTTCCAAAGAACGAAAAAGTTAGCCGTGTAGTCATATGTGCGGTATAGTCAGACGACGATTCAGGCCGACTGGGAAATAAATGTTGGTAATGAGTTGTAGAAGTGATCCGCGAATAGAACACACTTGCATACTTGATCTGTGGCGTCAGTATGTTCAAGCCCCAAACGTCTATAATTCTTTCAAGACAACTTTGTGAAACTGTCTTCAGCAAGCGATCTGTCCAGAAGATAGAACCGACCAAATATTCACTGTGACGTGCAGACCCGCCATTTGCGATCTACAAGTCAAGTGTAGTGGGTAGTCGTAGTCTCTTTGTGACCTGTAGTATTCCTGAGGAGTAATTCCTTTCAGTATCTCTGTTATTATCAAATACCGATAGGAGAGTTGTCGATGGTTCTCTAGGAATCTATATGGTAGTGTGTTGTGCTTGAACGTCTTCTAGATTTTAATGCGTTATTTTTCTTGTTCTCCTTTTTCTAGGCATATCCGCACCCTATTCTCTGTTTTTACGTCTTATCAATGAGCAGTTTCTTGATCCCTTTTGAGTATAAGAGGTTTTCTTTTTTGATGGCAAAGGTCAGCAAAGTTTTTCTACTTTTCGTAGGCGTCAACTCCAAAATTTCTTGCAGTTCTTGTGTTTTGCTTTAGCTTTTAATTTTTTGCTGGGCATTTTTTGAGCTTCTAGAAGGTTTGCTTTCGGAGCCCTCACTTTGGCTAAGAACAGTTTCAACTAAATTTTCTTTTTTGTTATTGGATGATTATTGGTTATTTTCTTCTAGAAGGTAAAATTTTGTCTACTAATCTTCTCATCGGTTATAACCTTGTCCGCCTATGTGCATACAACACTATCAACTTGCGTACAGAAAAATTCGATTTAAACTATGATTATTTGGATAACTAATTACACAAAGTTTTTTTCATTTATTTCTGTGTTTAAATCTCTTAACTAAGTAGTAAAATTTTCTATTATTTTATTTTTTTAATCAATTCTTATGGGAAAAGTATTTGGTTAAAGGCCTTTGAATTTTACTGGTATTGCTGCAGAAGGCGAAAGTGACTGCTGCTTTAGGTACCAACAGTAGAAAACTAAAAATTTGGAATAAAAATTTTTATTTACAGCTGTTGACGACCCTATGCTAAATTATGATTACAACTTGCAGTTGCACAATATGCAATAATATTAACTGTTGATAGCAATGTACTGAGCATAGAAGCTTAAAAAATGGCATTCTTTAGATGAACGTTTATTTAAACGGTTCCTTCCGAAGCTGGATAGCGAAGCTCACAAACAAGTAAATTTCTGTTAGATAGAGGTCCACAGATTACGGTGTTGGAATCGGAGTCGTTATAAGTTTTGATTTTAATTAGTACTGCAGCTAGTGGTTTTAAAAAATAACTGCCTAATTCTCACTGTATTGAACAGATTTTAAGATAATGGCTTTAGCAAGCGAGAAATCATGCTGAAAATCAGAAAATTTAGTCTTCTGGATTCTTTTCTTCGCCGATTCCCCTTCCTCCACTGAATTCGTTGGCTGTCGAAATACCTTTTTTTTGAGCAATTCAAGTTTTTGTTACTGTTATAAAAATTTTTATGTTGCCTTAAGACTACAACTGCCATGGGTCTTAAAATAAAAATTTTTAAAAAAACTTGGTTGGAAAGTTCAAACTTCAATGATTACTTGTTGATAGGGTTGCTACTGTTGTTCGGATAATGTTTCACCCATTACATTATGGTTGTCTTAGCAATTTTGGGTTCAACACGAAGTGTTAGTGTCGCCAAATTTGTTTAGTTTGATTAAGTAATTGATATAATCTGCTCCTGCTTTAAAGCCTTCAACTTTTGATTATCTGCTGTTTGTAACTGTTCCAATGTTTATTATAATCATTCTTGTCCATCTTTTTTTTTGCGGAATCGTTTTTTTTCCAAGCTTTTTTTAACTGGTAATGTTGTATAAATAGAACAAAAATTTTTTGATTTAGAGGAATTGTCCTAACAATTTTTTGAAAGTAGTGGAACGGAATGGTGGAGTTATTACGATTTTTTGCAAATTAAAAATCTTTACTTTTTTGTTTTTCTTCACTTATGGATAATCTTAAGCATTGTTATGGGACCTTCTGAGTAGAAAAGTTTTTGAACAGGCTCCTCAATGAGCCCAAAAATTAGGCTTTTTTCAAAATTGAGTAGTTTTGAAGACTTTAACTAAACATTTCTTTACTTCCTCTCGGGTTTCTAATCATGTCAGAAGGACTTCCTTCTGATTGAAGATTTCTGAAGACATTATACCTCCCCAGCTGTATTTCTGGCAAGACAGTGACCTGCAAAGGTACCTAAAGGAACTGTTTTGCTAACCACAGATTCATCTTCAAAGGCTTACTGACTTTCTATTCTTTCGTCAGCACTTAATAACGATGTTTTTACTGTTGGTAACTGTCTGGCAGAATTTATTATCCTTGAAAGTCAAAAGAATTACAGGCATTTGTGCCAAGACGGTGAGATACGTAGATTTAAGAATACTAGATAAGCATCATCGCCTAAAAATGGCTATATTTGAAGTAATCTGCTAAAATTACCTATTGCAAAATTCACCTGGAGAACTAGCAAAAATAATGTTTGTATTTTCTGCTTTATTATGCTCTTCTTTTGTGGCAGTTATAAACAACCTATAAGTGTAAGGTTCTATTTTAAAACTTTTATTTCTGCTGCTCTCCAACCTGCAAAATCAGTTATTTTTTTTAATTTATTTTTATTTTTATTTTTTTTGTTGAGACTAAAAACTCAGTGAAAGGTGTTAAAAACCTTATTTTTCCTTAGCTTTTTTTGCCAGTATTATGCTACGGTCATTACTTTTTGGTTGGATGCTTGGAAAGGTAATTAATAATTGATGCTTAATTTGAAATTTACAAGAACTGGATTGTTTTTTGTACTGTTTTGTTTGACAATTTCATATCACCGGTCCTTTGGTTTCAATTGAGTTCCAATAAACAATTACTTCCTTGCAAGAAGTTTTCCATAATAGTAATAATAATTTCATCAAATATACTCTTACAATGATGTTTTTTTTTTTGTCAAACTCCACAGCAGATATGGATTTGGTTTTTTATAACTATGGCATCTTTAGCTGCAAAAAAAATTTCGTTTTATGCCACACAGTAAACATTCGGAGCGACTGATCACCAGCAACACCTAATCAGATTTTATCGTAACATGACAGGCAGTATAAACGATATTTTATTCAACCAAACAAAGCTCTGCTTTTTATGAGTTTAATAGATAAGTTTTTTTTTTTTTTAATGAATTAAGATCACTTAGATAAACTGGAACAACGTTGTGGCAATATTCGTTTCCAGACTTTCATGAACGGTCGTGACGGCAAATGATTTATTACCAGTTAATTTTCCTAACTGGTTGCTAAACGTTAACATTCTTTGCATAACTCTACTTTGGCGAGAAACTCTTCAATAATAGATGAGAGGAAAACAGGTGCAATAGAAGAGTGACAGTTAAGAGGAATGGAGAGGTCGGGGAAGAAGGGTGGGCTGTTTCAGGAGGTATCATTGCGTAATGTATTGGAAAGTAAAATTTGTACTAACCGAATCAGTAACTGCGGTCCATCAAATTCTAGCCATTTTGTATATTGCTTATGCATACCTGGTTGACTGTTGGTTATTGCTTTCAGATCCTCTGCAAAAATCTGCTGTAGGAAGAAGTTTGCGGAAGCCGTTCTGGTTTAGTGAAATTGTATGACACAGCTGCAGTACAGCGAATCAGTTATGACAACATATAAGTGGTATGGCTATATAACTATAGAAGCTTATAGAAATTTTGATTTTCTATAAGGTACCTAATAGTTTAGCAGCAAATATATATCGATTAAAAGAGAATAATTTTTTTTCTCTTTGCATAATACTGTTCTTCCGGATCATCGATAAATGACATTTGAATAACAAAAGCGTTGATGGAGAAAGCTGTTTAATTTTCGCTTGCTTTTCAGTATTAGTGCTTCTCCAGTTGTTTTGTTTTCATTTTTTCTTCACAATAAGATATTGTTCAATTTATCGGACTTTATTTAACACAAAACTATGTATTTGAACAAATTTAATTCCGAAGCGGGTAAGATATAGTTAAATACTGTATTCGTTGACCATTGATTTTCTTTTCCATGTTTTCAATACGTCGAAT